AGCGCCGACAAGGCAACTCCGTCGTAGAGGGTGTTGCACCTGGCGCCCACTTTGCAAACACCTGTAAAATTTCTGCTTCCCTGACTGCTTTTCTCGCTCTAAACGTGTTTCTCGCTCTAAACGCGGTGCTAGGAGGACTCGTTTTATAGATGAAAAAATTGTCTCATATGTTTCGCTAAAGCTGAGCAGCGCATTCGTGTATACGGCTTGTGCACCGCCTATAGAGGCGCCACTGATAGCCACCTGCGCCCCATACATCTGTTTACAGCTGCGCCCCATACATCTGTTTTGGGATGCATGAGGCTCATAGTGTTCTCGCTAGCAAAAAGGCAAAGCCCTTCTGTCGTTCATGCATACAAAATCACCATTTTTGGCTCACTGCAAGGCACGGAAAAGGGGCTTTGTGTAACGATAGCCAGGAAGTAGTGGAAAGGAGCTTTCTGGGTAGCTTCTGAATGTAGCGACATAAGTATCAAGCGGACCATGCACGACACCCACACTACATTCACAGTCGAACCAAAGATGCTGACAGTGGAGAAATCTATAAATTACTATGCACGTGCACAAGGTCGGCGTTGTTCCACGCGACCCAACACTGCCGGTATTCAGGGCCACTGAAGAACTTCCTCGAGAACTACCGTATTTTCCGGTTTATAGGTCGCACCCTTGTATAAGTCGCACTCCCCTCAAAATAGCAGTTTTTCTGAAAAAAAACGTATATAAGTCGCACTGGTGCATAAGTCGCACCAGTGTAGAAGACGCACTTGCTCATTCGACCACCGACATTTAAGTATCTCGTCGTGACAATGCATTGCAAAAATGCATGCTTGCGACGGCCAACGCTTTTGCACGTTTCTAGCTATCGGCAGTCACGCGTGCGAGCGCTTTTAAACACACATAAAAACAATACTTTCAGAAGTACCTTTATTATTCTGATAGATTGGTGATGTTTATTCAAAGCCATCGAAGTCGTCTTCCTCCGAGTCACTCACGAACAATGCAGCTACTTCTGGTTGCAGTACTGCTGGCACATCACTGTAGTCCTCCGACTCGCTCGAATCGGACTCTTCAACGTCGCCATCGGCCGCGCAGGGGATCAAACCGGCCTTGCAAAAGCCCGCCACAATGGTCTTCGCAGAAATTGACTCCCAAGCGTCACTCACCCATTTCGCCACTTCGCCGAACTCTGCGCGTCTCATGCGCCCCCGTTTTTGTAAAGCTGTGTTCTCCCTCCGACATCCACGTTTCCCACAAACGTCGCAGAACTGCCTTGAAGCTGCGGTTGACAGAAATGTCAAGCGGCTGAAGCATCTTCGTCATGCCGCCGGGAATAATCACTGGCATACATTTCTTTGAACTGATCTTTTTCTTGACAATATCGGTGATATGCGCCCGCATACTGTCCATTACCAGCATCCCTGGCTTACCGTGGAAGAATCCGTCTGGTCGACGGGAAAAACAGCGGTCAAGCCACACACTCATCATTCCCTCGTCCATCCAACCTTTTGTGTTCGCCTGAATCACCACTGTAGGAGGGAAATTATCCTTCGGCAAGGTTTTCCGCTTAAATATTAGCATGGGAGGCAGCTTTGTGCCGTCCGCGCAGCAGGCGAGCACAACGGTAAAGTGGGACTTCTCGTGGCCTGTTGTCCTCACCGTGACAGTTTTCTGGCCTTTTTCGGCGATGCTTCTCCCAAGCGGGATGTCGAATGTCAGCGGCACTTCATTCATGTTAACGATGTGGCTCGCGCTGACATTCTTCTTCGCAACTTCCTCCCTCACGAATGAGCTGAAGTTGTCCAGTTGCGCCTGAAAGTCGTCGGGCAGCTTCTGGCACACTGTCGTCCGGGCTCTCATAACCAGCTGATTCCGTCGCATAAAGCGGAAACACCACGACGGACCACCATTGAATCCCATAACATTGCTCTCCGCTGCCAGAGCCTTCGCCTTCAGGCGCAGCTGCACTGTTGACAGCCCTCTTCCTTCGGCTCGTTGTTGCAGTACCCACGTGCGCAGGCTACGCTCGACGTCCGGCCAGCGCACCTTCTTGCCGCGGTTCGCCTTCTTTGTCGACTTCATCGTCCGAAGGACGTTGTGGGCCTTGCGCCAGTCACGGATTATTTTTTCACTGACGTCGAATTGCCTCCCTGCTTCTCTGTTCCCGTGGTTTTCGGCAAATTCAACAGCGCGCAGCTTGAACTTGGCGTCATAGCTTCGCCGACTTTGCTTTCCAAGCGGCGCCATGGTTCGCGAGGTTCTACGGCGCTACCGGCTCTATGCTACGACGCACAACACAACACACGAGACGCGCGCAGCAACAGCGACACAGCGAGTGCAATGAAGACGTTATGGCGGACGGAAGTGACGGTAAAGGAAGTGGCTCTGAAATCCAAACTTGCTTTTCTTAATTTATAATTTAAAAATACCTCCACATTTTCACCCCTCTGATTATTTTTTTGTGCAAAACTACATAGCTGCGTTACCTTTAGGGTGTTAACTTACCGTTAATCTTACTTTCTTTTTAAATGTGGTTTCTGTGCATTGCAGAAGGCCGCGGAGGAAGGAAAAAGGTAGCGGTGAAGCGCCATAGACGCCATTTTGATGGATGGATGGATGGATGTGGCTGTACCCTATTGATCGGGCGGCGGCTAACGCCACCTAGCCGTAATACTTAGTGAACTAATCATTACATTTATCTTTTTTTTCCCTTTAAATAATGAAGTTGAGGATTCGTACTTCGCAGTGAAGGGTTTAATTTTTACTCGTGCCTTGACTTTAGCCACCAATCAGATAACCTCTGCTTGACGTAAACAGCGCCACCCAAGCCGTGGCATCCAACTCGATTTTGAATGTATATAAGTCGCATCGTTGTATAAGACGCACCCACGAAAAATTCAGAAAAAAAACTCGACTTATACACCGAAAAATACGGTACTCTTTTTCTACTCTTTTTCTTTCTACTCTTTTTTAGCGAGGAAGAGAAAGAGTCGGTTCAGAAACCAAACCATTATAGGAGAGAGAGAGGCACCTCTTTTCCGGTTGCACGGGAGTACAAAGGCTCTCGGGTCCGTGCCTTTTTTTGTTGCTGTTGTTCTTATTGGGGAGCGGGGAGGGGGGGGGGGGGGGGGAGGGCGTCACGCACATTTGAAACGTTTCAAAGGAGATATGGGAGCAGCGGCACCCCCGAAAAGAATGGATTAGTTCCAGCAGGAACAGGCTCTTCGCCACTGCATGCTACGACGGCGGAGAGTGCATTTTCCTCCCTTTTTTCCAAACGTGACTTAGTGGCGTCTTCTGATGGCTCAAGCAGAAACTACTCGCAAGATGGCGACGGTGGTACCGTCACCTTAAACCACGGAGGAAGGAAAAAGGTAAGGAGAGGGCATGCCCAGCCGGCGCAGGGCGTAAAAAATGTGGCGGAAATGACATCATGGCGGCCATATTCAGTAGGCACAATGGCGGCGTTGTTATGGTTACGTGTTGCGCAGTGAAGCTGGTCTAGCAGTGAGCGGCCGCGGCTGGCGGCGGAATGTGTGCCTCTCCAGGTCTCGTGCTGAGCCGTGGCGGACAATATCTGTGCTCTGCGCCGCGTTATTGGTTACGCAGTGTTCGTCTGGCTGTTACATTAGTCTTAGCAACGTTTACAAATCTTTTTGTCCATCACGGGGTTTCAACAGTGCGTAGAACAAGTGCATATCCATGTGTCGTGCGGAGGATGACGCGGATGAAGCAGTTAGTGTTCAGCGAAATGGCGTTGGGCACCATGACGAAGCTGAATGACGACGAACGCCTTGCAGGTCAGTGACGGTTGAGCAGTGCTCCTGCTTGTGACAACGGACGACGCTGTTGAGCCCAGCAAGACCCCGTGAGGACCATGTGCACATATGTAGTTTCGTGTTGTGTGTGTACAGTAAGAACTTCCATGTGCGTATTAAAACACCTTTTCTGTTCCGCTTGGTACACTCTCCACCAGCATTGCATGTAATCTCAACGTAACAGCAACCACGTTCAACTGTCACTAGCACCGTGCTCAAAGTCACCACGGTCGCAGAATGCTGACGCAGGTGATTTTCACGCGGAACACGGACACAGTGGCAGGACGCTGCGTCAGTCGCGTGGCGGAATGCAACCGTAGACGGCGCACGACCGATCGTGTTGTCTGTACAGTTGCTGAATTAATGACGTGAAAGCACTCGCCGTTGTCAGTGCATCTAGCGTGCGTTCTTTCGTAGTTGCTTCGTTGTCAGCGAGCTGTTACTCTTTGTTATTACTCGGACGAAGCAATTTCGCTGAAGGTGTCCCGCTGGCTCTGAGTGATGAGCCCAGTTCCATTAGTTTCGGATCGTCACGACACACGCGCTGCGCAGCCCACGTGCTTTCCGAGCCGGAGAGGGAGTCGCGCCTTCTGCTTCGCATTCATAAGTAAACAAGAGAGGAGAATTTGCCTACTCAATATGGCCGACTTCCGGCTTCATCGCGGCTTCACAACGAGTGACGTCAGGGCCTCTCCTTACTTTTTCCTTCCTCCGTGCCTTAAACGGTTTCACCCTCAACATTCAGAATGATTCATACTCGCCCAGCGGGCTTCGTCTGGGAGCCGGGAAATGCAACGGGTATGAGCCGAGAGAGAGGAAGAGGAGGAAGACGTGAACTGGTGCGGATACCGACGCCATTACAACCGAACCATCAACTTCGCACTGCTAACACCCTTCGACTTTAGCCATAACACTTTCGACAAATTTCATCGTATCGGCCCAACTCTGCACAACAATGAGAATGGAAAAACTGTTGCAGCTGTTTCACCCATGGTACACACACATCTTATTGTATCGAATTATTGTAACGAGTTATTGTAACTAACAAGGTAAGTGACGATTAGCTTTGTCATATATATAGTTTTACCAAAATACATTTCTGAAATATTTTTGGACATTATAAAGTATTCTCATGATTTTGATCCTAAGGTCAGTTTGACTTCATAAAATGAGTATTGCACGCACCTGCAGTAAGGGTGACCACCTGTGCAGTGGCTGCGTTCATGGCTGCAATCTGGGAGCTGACATTCTGACGGTGTGTGTCAAGGTGGCTCTGGCGCCACTGCAGCGAAGCCGGGTCAGAGCCCAGCTGGGGCCGTGCCTGGGGCACCTCCAGCTCCTGCAGCGAGGCCTGGACAGCGTCCCGACCAGCACCCAGGCTGCCCAGCAGGGCACGCTGCGGCTCCGACTGGAGCTCCCGCACGTATGGCTGCTGGGCCGGCTGCACAATTGCACACAGCCTGCTTCGATGCCAATTTCACAGTATTCGAAATGAACAAACAGATGTATACCAAACCACATTTATGCCCTTGTAAAGATGGTTTCACTGCACCGAAGGGATGCTATACCGTGAATGAATCTAAAAAAGAAATATCCACACTGCCACGCAGCTTTATTTGGAAGTTAAATGAGCATATTACCCTCACATGTGCTCATCATTTTTTTTTTATTTAAAAGCTCGTTATACTGGCTTCTATGCCCTAATTATAGTGAATTTTGAAATGTAAAGTATTTTACAGGTCATCACTTGTATTCTCACAAACTTTGAATTCTGATAATATTCAGTCACTTCCACTTCATTTGAACAAAAAATATATAAAAATAAAAGTATTTAGCACATGCGTTGTTTCAATTTTTTAAAAGTATAATGCAGGTTATTTGGGTCATGAGAAATATGTTAATTATTGTTTACAATATGTGATATATTCTATTTTGATTCCATTCGAAATTATTATAACTCTTTCCTTTGAATTCACTTCAAACAACAAAAAAGCCTAGATTTTACAAAACAGCCTCAAAGTGGTCACATAAGAAACTTAAAAAATGCGAAAGACTGCCCCAACTGAAGGTTCGGGAATGATTTCATTAGCACAGAATTGATGATGATGATGATGTTTGATGTTTTATGGCGCAAGGGCCATTTCACGGCCAAAGAGCGCCAGTTCATCTTACTAAAAACATGGACAATGATTGTGATAAGCGGCTGTATAAGGGCCATAAAATTCCTCGCGGTAAGGCGGGTAAAGACATACAAGTAATAAAATCATGACCATGTCGTGAAAGGTGTGTGCGGTGTGAATAGATGACAAAAGTTGGTGATAATAAAAGACGATGGTGGATATGTATGGCATTAGCACAAGTGCCTCACACGTTCATACCCTTGCGTCCAAGGGCCGTGAGGCAAGTGCTTTCTTGTGTAACCACCGCAGCAAAAACCTCTCTGGAGAGGTCATGCTACGGGATGCCCGGGTATATGATGTGAAAACTATGAATTTCTTTAAAAAACGCTAACAATGATTTGTGACTAAAAAGCGGTTCCCTACCGACGAACATTGCAGGGTGCAAAGGTATATGTTGTCGGTAGGGTAATGGAAAGTGTTGTTTTCTTACAGTGTCCAATTGTTTGCACTCAATTAAAATGTGAAGGACTGTCAATACTTCACCACATCTGTTACACAATGGTGGATCGCCACCGGACAAAAGGTGTGTGTGTGTCGTGTATGTGTGTCCTATCCTGAGTCTCGTTAGTATTACCTGTGTATGACGCGATTTCGATACAGGCAGCCAATGACCAAGGTGTGGCTTAATAACGTGTAGTTTGTTTTGTGTGTGTGTATCCCACTTGCTCTGCCAGTATACTCTGAGGTTTCGTTTGAGAGACGGCTTAAGATCAACGGCCGGGATTGATATGGATGTAGGGGCAGTGCTTTTGTGGACGGATGCAGCGAGCTGATCCGCCCTCACGTTGCCTTGAATCTCACGGTGCCCTGGCACCCAGCACACTACAACATGTTGTTTGAGTGTGTATAGTGTGCATAAAATGGAGTAAAGTGAGACAAGGACTGGGTTTTTGTGTTTTTTAAGAGTGTGCAGAGCCGTTACTACACTGAGGGAGTCTGTATAAATTACTGCTTTTTGTATTTGTGATTGCTTGATGTGTTTAGCCGCCACAAGTATCGCGTAGGCTTCCGCTGTGAAGATACTTGTGTCTGGATGTAAAGGGCCAGCATCCGAAAAGGATGGGCCGACAGCAGCGTAGGACACAGAGGAGTTAGACTTGGAGGCATCTGTAAAGAACTCAGGACGTGTGTATCTGTGTTGAAGTTCCAGGAAGTATGTTTGGATATGGGCAATAGGCGCATGTTTTGTAACTTCAAGAAAGGACACATCACAGTCTATAGTCTGCCACTGCCACGGTGGCAGATATGCTACAGGAGCCATTAAACTATGTTCAAGTGAGACTCCAGTTTCCTCAGCTAGACTTTTCAGGCGAACTGAGAAGGGCTGCCTCATCGAAGGCCTGTTTTGAAACAGAATGGAGCTCGACAAATCAATAATAGTGGAGTATGAGGGGTGCTTCTTATCTGCTTTCACCTTAAGGAAATAAACAAAGGACATGTAAGTTCTCTGCAGATGAAGCGACCACTCATTCGACTCAACATAAAGGCTTTCTACGGGGCTGGTGCGAAAAGCAACCGTAGAAAGGCGGATGCCCAAATGGTGCACGGGGTCCAGCATCTTCAAAGCACTTTGTGTTGAAGACTGATAAACAATGGCCCCATAATCTAAGCGGGTGCGAATGAGGCTTCGATACAGATTCATGAGACATTGCCTGTCACTACCCCACGTAGTACGTGACAACACTTTTAAAACATTCATGGCTTTTAAACATTTTGTTTTTAGATACTTGATGTGCGGTACGAAGGTCAACTTGTTGTCCAAGATTAATCCTAAGAATTTATGCTCCACATTGACAGACAGACGTTGACCGTTCAATTCAATGTTGGGTTCTGAGTGCATGCCTCTCTTTCGGGAGAACAAGACACACGTGCTCTTTAGTGGGTTCAGTCGGAATCCGTTTTCCTCTGCCCATTTGGAGACCTTGTTTAAACCTAACTGAACCTGTCGCTCACACATGGCCAAGTTGCATGACTTGAAGCCAAGCTGAACGTCGTCGACATATGTACAATAGAACATATTGCGGGGAATGGACAAGTGCAAAGAATTCATTTTAATAATAAAAAGTGTGCAACTAAGCACACCACCTTGTGGCACGCCTGTTTCCTGGACAAATGTTTGGGAAAGCACTCTGCCCAGACGGACACGGAATGTCCGGTTTGACAGGTAACTTTCGATTATATGAAACATTGTTCCGCGCACACCAAGGTGGGACAGGTCTCTTAGAATTCCGTAACCCCATGTAGTATCATAAGCCTTTTCGATATCGAGGAACACAGAGAGGAAATATTGTTTATGGACAAACGCGTCTCTGATCTGTGCCTCGATACGAATAAGGTGGTCTGTGGTGGATCTACTTTCTCGAAACCCGCACTGAAATGTGTCGAGAAAATTATTTGTTTCAAGAAAATGTACAAGTCGGCAGTTTATCATTTTTTCGAAGACTTTGCACAAGCAGCTTGTAAGTGCTATAGGCCTATAACTCGAGGGTAAAGAAGGGTCCTTGCCCTCTTTCAAAATGGGAATAACAATAGCCTCTTTCCAGGAAGTAGGAATAGTGCCAGAAGACCAAATGGCATTGTACAAACAAAGTAAGGTTTTTCGGGTTTCGTTTGGTAGGTTTTTTAACATTTCATACATCACACGGTCAGAACCTGGGGCAGAAGTACTGCAGGAGTTTAGAGATGTTTGGAGCTCAGCTAGATTGAAAGCTTGGTTATAGGCCTCGTATCTAGTGGATTTGTGTTCGAGTTTCTGCTTTTCTATTCTTGTTCTGTATTTTTGGAAAGTGTCAGTATAGTGGGACGAGCTGGATACCTGTTCGAAGTGTGCACCGAGGAAGTTTGCCTGATCTTCCAAGGTATCACCCTGAGTGTTTACGAGTGGAAGTGTGTATACTTGTTTTCCTGCTATCCTACCGACCATGTTCCAGACTTTAGCCTCCTGTGTGTATGAATTAACCCCTGATAAAAACTTCTGCCAGCTTTCTCTTCTGGCCTGCCGACGCGTTCTCCTGCCTTGAGACTTTATTTTCTAGAAGGTTTCAAGTTTTACGGCTGTCGGTGAGTTCCGAAGCAGCCTCCAAGCTCTGTTTTGCTGTTTGCGCGCCTTTCGGCATTCAGAATTCCACCATGGCACACATCGTTTTCCAAGGTGTCCATTTGTTTGTGGGATGCATTTTGTTGCAGCATCAATCAAAAACGTTGTGAAGTAGTTCACAGCAACATCAATGTTCAAAGTACAGATGTCATTCCAACCTAGACAAGCGATAGTATGAAACTGTTCCCTGTCGGCTCTGTTTATGAGCCACTTGGGAACACGTGGTGGACACTTAGTTACTGTCGTTGTGCTCAAAACTACGGGGAAGTGGTCACTTCCGTACTGATTACTGACGACTTTCCACTGGAGTAGAGGCACAAGAGATGGAGATACTATGCTCAGGTCTATGGAGGAGTAGGTGTTATTAGCAAGGTTATAATAGGTTGGTTCTTTTCGATTTAGGAGACACGCGCTCGATGAGATAAGGAACTGTTCGATCAGTCGACCTCGCGCGTCATACCGAGAGTCACCCCATAACCTGCTATGCGCATTAAAGTCTCCAAGGAGAACATAAGGCTCCGGAAGTTCATCAATTAGAGAGTGTAAATCGCGTTTTTGGAGCTGATAGCTAGGAGGAATGTAAATACTGCAGATTGTGATCAGTTTATCAAAAAGAACCGCTCGAACAGCCACTGCCTCAAGGGGTGTTTGGAGTTGTAAGTGTGTGCATGCTATTCCTTGATTCACTATGATGGCAACACCTCCGGATGATGTCATAGCATCAACACGGTCTTTTCGGAAAATAACGTATTTACGAAGAAAATTTGTGTGTTTTAAATTAAGGTGTGTTTCTTGTACACACAGCACTTTTGGCGAGTGTTCATGTAAGAGTTCTTGGATGTCGTCAAGGTTTCTGAGAAGGCCCCTGACGTTCCATTGTATAATTTGAGTGTTCATGGTGAATGTGAAATAGTGCTGTGTGTACGAAAAGCGAGTGGCTGCTTAGACGGGGAGTTTGAGTTCACTTAACAGGGCCATCACCAGGCCCTGTTATTTGCTTTTTTGTTTTCTTGGCGCGCTCCAAGGAGCCACGCCGCTCTTTCGGCACCAAGGGTGCCGATGTATCCATTGTCTCCTCGGAGGCACTGGATGCCCGCACATGCGGGCTGTTAGTTCAAATTTTGGGCCTCACCTTGTGAGGGGAGGCCTTGAGACCCGAAGACT